TCTCTCTCTCTCTCTCTCTCTCTCTCTCTCTCTCCCTCTAATCTCCATCTCTCTTTTACCCTCTACCCCTCCCCCTGAGTGCTTAAGCAAGGTTTCTGATTTCGAGTGAGCCTTTAAAAAGAGAGATAAAGGTAAATAGGAAGACTGATAGTGTATTCCTTGTTATAGATAGTGTAGAACATTTAAGTCAGATAGATGCTGGAGAGGGTAGTCCACATGAAAAGGATAATAAACACTACCTTGTATAATTTTTAATTAGTATTATTGTCACCTTTACGTACAGCAAGTGGCGTCGGTAGCCTAGTGGTCAGACTACAGGACTCGTAATCGTGAGGTTGCCGGTTCAGGGGTTCGAGCCTCAGCTCGGTCAAACGTTGTGTCTTTGGGAAAGGCATTTTACACGAAATTCCCATCTAGTTCGGTCCTATCGGAGATGGACGCTAGACTCAGCAGAGGTCCAGCCTCTTAAATAATTTTATAGTGTCAATAGAGGCGCTAAACCCATACCATTTTACTGTACCATTTTTTAAAACAAATTAATCGTTTTCGAATTCCTTTCCAGGCTAACCGCGTGATTGACGTCCGAAGACTCGGGGAGATGGTGGACCTGTCTGAGTACAGCCGACCGTTCACCTCCGGCAACCTGGAGGGTTACAACTACGTTGTAATGAAAGGACGCTCCGGCGAGCACATCATGTTTGTGCAGGTTAGTCATGATATTATGTACATTTTTCAGCTTTTACTGGTATTTCCACATTGAATTTTAATGAGAGTAATAAATAATACTTTTTTTTTTAATACCAGCATGCGTTTTTTGGTTCTGGACAGCCTAGAAAAATTCCCCTCTGGGACAATAAATTATTATTTAATCTTATATCTTATCTTAATTACGATAGTTCTTGCGTTATCTTGTTCCAATACATTAGCTTTATGTGTTTAGTGGAATATTTTTCGCGGGATCAAACTTAGTACAGAGAGAGTTATGGAGACGTTTCAACATTAGATTTCTTCGTATTAATTCGGTTTTCGATTCTGTTAAGTCCAGATTATCCTCTTTCGTTCTTCTCGAAAATATTAGCCTAGGCATGTCCAAATAGGGTTGTGTTTGGTTCTTCCTTACCATGAGGGACATCATGATGAGAAAAAAAAGAGAGAAAGATAAAGAAAATTCAAAGAGAGAAAGAGAGAGAGAGAGAGAGAGGGGGGGAGAGAGAAGGAGAGAGAGAGAGAGAGAGAGAGAGAGAAAGAGAGAGAGAGAGAGAGAGAGAATGAGAAAGACATAGCTGGAGAAAGAGAGAGAAGGAGAGAAAAACAGGGAGAGAAGAAAGAGATAGAGGGTGAGAAAGTCAAAGAAGGACAAAGAGACGGACTGAAACATATAGAAAGTATGTATGTGTGTGTGTGTGGGGGGGGGTATGTCTATGTGTGGGAGTGTGCGTGTGTGTGTCTTTTCATGACAAACATGCTCAAATAAAAATGTCGTCCTCTCACGGTTTGTGTGTTGACTGAGGGCGTAAGCGTGTAAGAGAAAGGAGGGATAAAAGTAGACAACAGATGGGTGTATGCTTCCCGGGAAGTTGAGAATGTTTCTGGATGTTCTATAGTCTGCTGGGGTAATACTATAGTGTAAAGCGTATAGAGCCTGCTTTCGAGTGGGGGCATGCGCTATACAAATTTTAATGCTATTTATTATTATTCTTTATTATGGATAAAAAGACAGGTACGTAGAAAGAAATGAAAATGAGGAAGGAGTAAAACAAAAAGAAAAATGCACAGCATGACTATCCTGTTTTATTTCATTTAGCCATGGCTATATATAAATCTCGTTGTTGTTTTTTCTCCTGCAGCTCCGCGGACCAATGGGGGAGAAGGTGAAGCAAGCCATGCTGGAGTACGGAGCGGTCAGTACGGCCTGGCCAGAGACCAACCCGTGGACTTACGGCGGGTACGACGAGTTCTGCAGCAAATATCACAACCTGGATGCTTCTCCAAAAGAAGAACTATAAGGAAACACCGTTTTTGTTATAATATTATTATTATTATCAGTATGATACGATCAAAGCTATGGGTTAAATTAGTCAGTTAATTTCTGTCTCAGGAGGGGTATTATCTATTTTTGTAAGTCGAATCCTTGTGTGTGGATTAGTTTGTTTGTTTATTGTTGTTTCTTTTTAAGTTGTGTTCAAGTTTCGTTGTGTTGTCTACAGCGATGATAGTACTAATAATGTCCTGCGACATTGCATAAGACACGGACCTTCACCTGAAAGTATGATTGGGCTTAGAGTGAAGTGAACATGCACGAGAGATTTTATTATAATATGATTTTTTGTTTGCTCATATGGATGATGACCTGAATCTACAGTCTGCATGTTTGATCGTTGGACAAAAAGTGAATTTTTAAATATTAATATATATAATTTAATGTAAGCCAAAGTTAATATGTTTTACAATTATATCATTTAGTCTGATTTTTCTGATTGCTCTTATTCTGACAAATCTCTTCCTAGCACAGTTTATTTTACATTGCATTTTGTACAGCCCACGACCATCATAATCTGTTTACCTAACACTTGACTTATTTTACAATAAAAGTAAGAAACTTTACATTCATCTTTGTTGATCTCCTGTTATTCCATTTATGAAAGTGATTGTGTGTATTTTGTTTTCTTAACACAATGTACAATCGAGCTTGCTCTAACCTGCTCAGACAATCCCCTGTACAAACACCCCCCCCCCTCCTCCAAAAAATCAACAACAAAGAAAAATAATTAATTTAAAAGATAAAAATAATAAAATCATCACTTCTTCCAGATTCTCCAAATATAAGGACACTGTCTAGGACGACCGCTTGTTTTTTAGTTTTAGTTTTAGTGTTTTACGGCACTTGTAACACAATAAGGTCATAATAATAAGTGCCAAAGATTAGAGGTGTTACAAGAGAATAATAAACATACAGAAGAAGGAGAAGAGATAAGGACGATATATGTTTGATAGGAAAGAAGAAGCAAATCACACCAGAGCATCCGCCAACCACCCACACCACTTGTTTAATCAAATCTTTCACTTTTATATTCAACAATAATTGCCCATCTTAGACATTTTCAGGCCAACACCTGCACGCGGGTTGCTGTCATTGCTTGTAACTTTGTTGTCAATAGTGGATTATTTAGGAAATACCACACAGTTCAATGACGCAACTAACTGTTGTTTATGCGCTCATACAACCTTATAATGCAGTTGCAAGCGTCGTAAAACTTGAACCAAAACTGAAACTGTGTTTTGGACAGCAGTGTGCCTGTATAAGCCTCTCTGTGGTACTTTTGACAAAGAGGTGCTCTTTCGTTTCTTGTATGCTTGTTTGTTTGCTTGTTTGTTTGTTTGTTCTTTTTCTTGTCTTTTTTTGTACACCAAGACCAAACGAAGGTGCACTCTTGTCGTCCTTTCTCACTTTATCTCTCTATCTTTTTTCCTTCTCCCCTTCTCTATTTCCCTCTCTGTCTCTCTTTCTCTTTCTGTCCCTAACTGTCTGTTTGTCTGTCTTTCTGTCTGTCTGTCTGTCTGTCTGTCTGTCTGTATGTCTCTCTCTCTCTTTCTCTCTCTCTCTCTCTCTCTCTCTCTCTCTCTCTCTCTCTCTCTCTCTCT